ACAAGGCGAGGAGAACCTAGTTAGAAGAGCCTAGGCGAGTGTAGCTGTCGCTAGCCTGTTTCAAGCGACGCAAAGCACGAACAGCCGCATTCGACAGAAAGCAAATTTCAAAGCCGGATTCTTAGGGCTGGCTTGGTTGAAAAAGGTTAAACACCATTAGTGATAGCGGTAGCTACTTCACGCCCATCTGACATCCTGGTCCTCATTCGGTTTCAGTGAACCATTTTCTGTGTAAAATTCTAACAAAATGATGCATGAAGATATTTGTAACTATCATCGATAGAACTGACGCCTCTGGTAGCGCGATCCGATCAAAATGTAGCCATCTATGGCTTCAGTTTCAAGAGCAAGTGACCACTCTTTGCAAGTTCATTGCGCAGTGGGAGATTTCGAAAGCTTTTTTCTGTGCCGTTGTTTTAGCCGTTTGAGACCCGTTGTGTGCGGGACGAGTAGAACCCAGCTGATGAGCTGATTTTCATTGGAACTCCGTTGAGACAAGGTTTAAGGTAAGTTAAAGTAACATAAGTAAGGTAGCTAACAACCACCATGGAGCCGTGATCTGCGACTTGACGCTGAGACAGCAAAACATTTGCAGGGTAGAGTCTGATTGATTCCGAGGTTAAATAGATCTGCATTAGATAAACGCAGATGACGAGATACGCTTAGCAACCACTGAAGTTAAGGGCTGCAGGCCGGTTTTAACAAAGTTCTTCAACATGTGCCAAGTGTAATAGAAATCTTACCGAAATCTCGCTTAAATATGGTTGGGCATGCTAAGCGACCCTAAGTATTACCAAAAACTCGTAAAAAAAAATTGTCAGAACAAGTAGCACTTGCGATAGCTAGATGTATTAAGTTCGTCAATTCAGGTGTGCCCCCATCCTTTGGGGGTAATCATCGAATAAACTCTGTGGCTAAAGTAATTCATATTTGCAATTCATAGAACGTTGCAGTCGAACCATTCATCTTCATGCACTAAGCCGACTTTACTACGAATGCGTTTGTGTTCCGTCATCTTTGACTTCATCTTGTTTTTTCGTTCTACTGGTTGATAATCGCTAAAATATAATCTCGATTGATTTTTGAGATTTCTCAGACAAAGTACCCCGCTTAGAATTAGACCGCCGTAGTGGTTTTCATGCAGTAATGGGAATTCGGACAATGCCGGCTCATCTCCCCGTTCTCCTTCCCTAAAGCCGAAAAGGCTCGCCGGGGTCTGTATCGCAGAATAAAAGCGGCTGCCTGTTTACTTGCAGCAAGGTTCTTCAGTCCTCATGACAGGCCGCCTATTTAAACTTGCTAATCCATAGTTTCCTGGCAGTATCGCAAGGACACGCAGATCTTTACACAACGTATGACATCCACTCACCCATGTCAGCCTGATTCACTTCGAGTGCGTTAGTGCTCAACTGTCTTTTGTTTTGAACAATACGCTACCATAACTCTACGCTACTGTGGTACTCAATTCTGTAGTAATAACGCGAGAAAATAGTGGGCTAGAATAAAAAAATGAGTGAACTTGACCGCATTTAGTTGCCGTTTCATGTCTTTTGGGGGGTTTTTCGTGTCGCCCCATGTCGATTCCGTAATTCGTTTTCTCGTGTAACCTTTGGAGTAGATACTCTATTCAAGTCAGGGATAAGAAGAAGCAATCAGAACTAAGAAGCGACCGTTTCCTAACATGTTTATTGGCTATGCACAATTTAGGCCAGAAGAAGAAAAGCGACAGTTTTGTTACCTTTAAGGACTGATTCGACTTCAACCGCGATTTGAGCTACCGCTTCGTGCCTGGCCGAAGTTCAGCCTCCTCTTGCTCTAAAAAAACAACAAACAGAGATCTGTGTACCTATGTCACTTTTAGTCGCCATTTCAGTTCCATGTGCAGCCAGCGCCGACGAATCGTGAATGAACTCTATGTACAGGCAACGTTCCTCGATCCGAAAGGATCACTACACTCGACGGCTGCTTTAGTATAATCCAGAAGTATTAGGGCCCGGCTAAATTTGTATCGATTCTCTCAGTTCCTAGTTTAGTGAGTAGCCACGTACGATTGGAGGGGACAAAACACCGCCCGACAAGCAAGCAGGCCGCTGTTAGGCTGAGAACCTATGAGCAGGCCAGGGGCAAGCAAGTAGCCTGCCCGTAGTAATAGGAACGGCAGCCAGCTCATGCTAGTTCTAGCACCTTTGAGGAGCGCATCGCAAGCTGTGAGAGAAGAGAGGTCGCTGATCGAATGAGTGAGCCCGACAACTCTCAAACTAGGTTAGACTCAAAGAGTGGGCTTTCTCCCTCATCACGTCTAATTGAACTACCCGGATTCCTCTCCGTAAAACCGCTCCGACCATCCACCTTACAATTACGCATCTGACTCTTGTCCGCCCCATATAGATCTGTCTCTTCGATTTTTCTCTGCCCTCGTGCATTGCTGCTTCTTCCGCGGCGGCTTCACCTGAGACGGAGTGCGCTCCCAACGCTCACCATGGGTGCGCCGTGGCCTTTGGTTAACGTGGTAATCGAGCCTTTGCAGTCGTCCAGCTCCTGATTCTCAGAGAGACGATTGCTGCCAGCAGTTGTTTCATCTTTTCTCATCTTCCGCTGCATTTGCCGAGTGAGACGCCCTCGTCTGAATTAGATCTCTCGGAGTAGCAATAGGATCCGGGAAATACTGCAAGCTCTAGTGGTGGCCATAGCGCGGATTCATATATCTGACAGACGCACACTGAAAGGCATGTGGACATTGAAACAAGCACGAGACACGATGGCGAAACGGCGGAACCGCAAATGGTTTAGAATTGAGCGTTCAATAGGTTCGCCGCAACTTGACGACCAGGTTTAACTTATTACTGTTACACATAGAAAAATTAGTGGATTGGCGCAAAATGTCGAATGACAAGACGATGGCAAAAACAGGCCAGGCGAAGGGCCTCAAATCGCCTTCGTGACCAAGGTTAAACCACCCCTGTGCTACTCGAATTCGCGTCCAGCTACGGTTCAGTGCCCAGTTAGAGTACTTTAAGCTACACACCTTTTTAATGCTGTTCATTGCGCTTACGTTCGCAAGAACCGCGAATGGAGACGTAGAAGCTGTTAAATGGAAAATAACAAATTAACCGACTAGCAGCCTTTTGTATACTCGTGTAAAGGTACTGTCGTATCAGGTTGTTTGATGTATTTTTAAAAAAATAAAATTAGACGGCATGTGCAAAGGAAGACAATGCGAACAATAGCACATGAGACACCTGTTCTGATAAGGTGCCCATAAATATCAATCTTGTAGACTGAATCAAGTAATAAGTTTCTACTAGAAATTTTCAATTGTGAGTATCAAATCGTATATCGATCATACTGATAGAGAAATCTATTTGATCCCCGATAAATATTGTTGCGCCCGTACACCTCGACCTTATTGTTGTCACACACAAGTTACTATTAATGTGAACCGTAATTTTAATACCTGTCAAAAACCTTAACAGTTAGTAGCAAAAAATATAGCAACAGTCACCCTTTTAATATGCTACAGGTATAACAGTCGGCATTTTTTCCCTTCTAAGCAGCTTTATCTCAATCGACGTCTACCTAAGATGCGCGCAGTTGTTCACGGATCTCGCTGGATATCCAGAAAACTCTTTTGTTGTTGTAGTCACAGCGCATGGAGAGCCCCATCTGCCACTTTCTCATAGTTGCCATAGTCGTGTTCGTCGTTGGTGGAAATAGAAGTCGCTGAAAATTTCTGCCAGCCGAAGTGTTTGTCTGTCATGGATTCGAGTCGTCGAATCTATAGGACTTCAAATTTGGCTCCGCTCCAAAAATTGGGGAAAAGACTGTGGAAGTTTGGAACACTCTGTTTGCAGCGGTTGAAGAGAACTGACGACCAATCGACTGACTTCAAGTCAAAGCTATACAGATCACTACACTTTAGGGACAGCCAGACGAAGATCTGGTGGCGACGGCGACGATACCAAAGGACAGCTAACCCAGCCTCGCACAAATGAGAAGAAGGACAAATATGGCCAAGGACAAATAAGTCTCCCCCAATTTCGCAATAGCGGCAGTTTTTCGAGCCGTCTGTACGGTAAGCAAAAATCTCCACTCTTCGGCGCCTCGCCTCTCTTTCGCAGTGCGGAGGGATATAGCGGCGAAGTGCCATCTACGACTTAGCCTTCTCTGCATTTGTGTCGTTTCAATATTTTGCAATCGTGCTTTGATCGGCGGCACGGGCAGCTGCATGAGTTAGCTCCGTGCAATGATCGGTCTTTTTTTCACCCTGATATTCTGCTTCAGTTGCAGTCACCAAGGCCGTTGCCATGGAACAAACGCACAGGACGACAGCAATGAAAAAAGAGTAGGGTTGGGAATAGGTAGGGAAGGAGTCAAGGAAATATAAACGGCTCTTTCATCAAGCGGACACCCAGGGCACGCGAGAACTGTTGTCGAGACGGTACTTCACTACGTATTCTCCCTAATAAGGCCGTCAAGCCGGAAGCGTGGCAGAGTTTAGGAGGTTATAATTGGAGTAGGCCCGGTTACCAGGATAGGGTATCTGGAATAGCGAGCTACTTGGCCCACCGTATGGCATTATAAGAGAAATGCTACATGGGATTGCTTGAGACGCCGTTGCACATTGCCGAATGTAAAGTCCATAGGGAAGGATTTTGAAAGCACCGAAATGCAGAGTGGCTCTGTGTACACTCTATCGTAAACGAGATGAAAACTAGCAAATTGCTGGAGAAGATTGCCCCGATATTAATTCTTCGTTCACTGCTAGCAAAACAAGTAGGAGGAAAAATCTCGATGCGATGACAACGTCAAATGAATGAACTCTCGGATTCAATGTTACGCTATATTTCGAACATTCGATTTCTTCCATCGATGATGAAATAATTAGATACTTCGAAGCGATAAAGGTAGCGTAGTTCAAAGGATGTTGGTAGCTTGAGGCCAGGTCAGCTGTTCCTTAATGGCATTGACTACATCGCTGGCGAACTAGCAATATCACTAACCTTTATCCTTTGCAGGAGCTGCCGATGTATGTCGTCCCTAGGCGGAAGTCTTCTGGCGTCGTCCTCAATAACCTCAAGCGAACTTTCTGCATCACAAAGCCACGCCACGAAGTGCTCCACGGCGCGCTCCAGCTGTGCCAACGAGTTTAGGGCACCCTGGAGTTGGCCACCTCGTGACTGAATGCTGTGAATTCAAATAAAGTGTCAAACGTACGACTGACTAAAATCCGAAAAATGCGGTAAAAATGAACAAAACGCAAGAGCATTATTAGGAAAGAAAAAAAATCCGATAATCAAAAGTCTATGATATGAAAACACATGTACTATGCAAAAGTGATCTCGTATATACCCAAATATTGATGGTAGCATATGAAATCGGCTCATTTCTCTAAATAGACTATCATTACGGAAGCACCTTCAAGTATAAAAGAAATCCGCACTCAAGAAACACAACAGAGAGCCAATAGCATAATTAGCTAATTAAATATCTGCCGTTATATTGGACTGTGTTAAAAATAACATAGTTTTACATCGCTGAGATTTTTACTGGGTACAGATGGTTGTGAGCATGCAACCATACCGTCTATGCTTTTAGGTATAAAGTAGTTTTTGTAAATAGAGGGGCAATTTAAGCGATATTTGTTTTTGTATAGATTTTCACGTATTTTCACTCATTGTTCACATATAGTTCACGGATGAAGGTACACAGCGGCTTTGAGGCTCAGTTCAAGGACTGTAGATAGCTGGAGAATATCTATTCAAACTTTTTCAAGTCACAGGAGGTAAACACATTTTAGAAATACAGAGCAGATTTACTTGTAACTGGGGCATTCTATTACGACTTCTATAACTCCTATAGTACTATGTTATTGCATTATTAGATGTTTAATTGCAATAGCCACAACTATAACATCTCTCAGATATGTATAGCTTCTCCGGTAGGGTAATTTTATCTCTTTCAAGTGTTTCGGTTTACTACTTCACTCCGCCTTCCCGTACTGCTTGTCTCAGTATCCTGCTAAGTTAAAGCTCTCTGCACTGTAAGAATCACAATGGTCTTGCTCTTACCAGCGCATGCATGGTGGCTTCTATATGCGGTGCTGAGGAATTGCAAAATACGCATACATTTCCTTAAGTACTCGTAGAACTAACTACCCCGATGCTCTATTTAGAAGACAGCATTATGTGAACTACTCAAACGCTTTAAGCGGGCATAGCAGCACAAGCCTAACCTACGAGCTTCTACTGTTCATAAGCCCATCCTTGTTCACATGGATGACCGGGAGGCGGATTCGCTGGTGGCTGTCGATCCAGCAAATCACGTAATGTCTCGATAATCTTGCCCTGTTTAAAGCAATACTTTGTTATCTGTCTACTAACTGTCAAATGTTCTCCACTTAACCGATGTCGGAGCCGAAGCTCAGGAGATTACTGCCACTAGTGTTCGAGTTCCATCCAAAGCAGAGCCGCGATCTGCGTCTCGAGACACGGAGCGGAGAAGAAGAGTTCGTCCTGACGAGATTCGCCGTATCAGACTAGCTAGGATAAGGCGACCTCCTCTGATGTTCTACTAATAGTCCTTAATGAAGAGGCTTTTGACACAAGATGGAGGACGGCTTGGAACTTTCTCGTTACAGCATCGTTTCACCCTTCCCTGTGTCGTGCGCGGATCATGATCTCTGATCAGTGGCCTCATTCGCAAGTGAAGGTCAACTGGTGATGTGGGTATCAAAGGTAAGCAAGAAATAGTACGGGAACTGGGGTCGAACAAGAATAGCGACCAGGTCATAATATAATCGTATATGATTTTGGGTAGGCTGTTAGAAAGGTCCCTCAGGGTGTATAGCGTTCGACGCCTGCATTTTATCTCTAGACTGCTCCATATTATCCTTTAGGATTTCGCCTAAAGATTCCCACATAGCATAAGCCAAAAGTGAGTTGTGAGAACAATGTAGATTTAAGTGGGATAACGGCGAATGCGCACGCGTATTATATATATGTATATATATATATATATGTATGTGTATATATATATATATCATAACAATCGAAACAAGGTCGATGTCTTCGTATACATTTCTCATTGATTTTCGGAATGTTTCTTAGAGCTTCATTGAAAAAACGTTGTCGTAATATACCACAGTTTCTCACGAACTATGCGTATGCAAACGATCTGTAAATAATGGGAAAAGCTCTTAGCAATAAGAAACACAGTGATTTACTCATACCTCATACTGACGTCCTGGAATCTTTGGTTGATTCGATCAAGGATAACATGTAAATCCTCAGCGGTCTGGTGATGTGCGATTCCGCTGTGGTTGTGGGGCAAGCTTCCTGTATGACCAGGCTGGCCCCCAGCGAGTTGTTGGGCCTCGAGTTCTTCGGCTAACCGTTGACCCACTCGTGTGACCGTGTCCAACGCAGCTTTCCACTGTCCCACCTCGGCGTGTGATAGCTGTATTATGGAATCGTTAGTTAACATAATGCGAGCAGGGGAGTGAGATTTGAAAAAAATAGTACTTATTATGATCAAGTAACTAACTAAAAAAAGGCAATATTCGCTAATGAAACATTTTCGATAGGTTTAGCCAACTTCTCAAGAGATCTACAGTGAACAACGGATTTGTTGCTACACAAAATATGGCACGAGGGTTTCTCCCCGATGTACTTTAAACGGTCCTGGTCTGTCCATCGTCTCAGAGCTCCTGAGGGCGACTTAGAACTATCAAATCAATTTTCTGGTACCCATTATGCAGATTGCTGTAGTTTCGAATAGGTAGAAATGTAGTCATCTTGCTTTTCTAAGGCGAATGTATCTGTATTCTGTGAAAGTGGTATTCGCGTTAAGCACGTGTATGTATGGCGTAAAATTCATGCATCGATGTGCACGCACTGATCATAGTTTCTTGGGGGGGGGGTACATTGTATCCCGTAAATTTTCACGTTTCACGGTTGGTCACGGATACCCACCATTGCCATATCCAAGAAATGATACCTTACTACAATATGCTTGAAAAGAACTATCTAATTTACTCTTCTTTCCTTTTTTCCTGCCATCATGCGAATGAGGCACTTATTTACATAAAAAGGTCATGGTGGATGCTAGAAACGGAAGTTCCCTGTCTTCTTCTTACCAATAAGACGCGTTATACAGTAGCGGCTCAGTGCGTAACTTAATGCCGGGACGAGCGAAAACAACCTGTACGCATTATATGGTAAGTCGCGCTCGCGCTTTCTGAAGATCTCTTTGTAAATTGCAATCAATTTAGGCTCAAGCAAAGCAAAGTACTGAACACGTGCGATACATACACGAGAGGCTCAACCTTAGCGCAGCTTCACTATATGTTGCTCACCTACCAACGATTACATTGCATAGAATTACCACCTTTCGACGCGAAAAGGCCGCGTTTTACCATACTGCATAAAATAAAACCAACCCATGTTCGGCAATAGTTTTATGATGATTTCTTTCGCTCTCGGGCCTGCCATCGTCTGAGTACGTTCAGCTGTGTGAGTACGACGGCTACCGGCGCCGACTATTTCGTTTAGTGGTATAGCACAGTTTTTCCCGTCCAATTTGTTTTATTAGCAAAAATCTGCCCCGTATTATTACAGCGTCCTTGTTTTTCCCAACAAAGCCCTTGTGTAGAGCGTTACTGTCCCGTCATATGATGTCGAGTTTCTTCTCCGACTAAACTCCTGTCTACGTAATGCACTTCTGTGCCTTCAGATTAATATCGGAACAGTTAGAGCCGTTGAGAACAAAACGAAGCATAGATCCCGATAGCTTTTCAATGTTATGCTGCACAAATATCGCATTGTGTCCATTTTCATCTATCCTCCACGCCTAGTCGGTACTATTGTGCTCTTTCCTGTACTTTGCATTTTTTATGGACTTCACTGGAACTCCGCTTTGCCCCGAGTTCGCTACCTGTTCTCTACTGCTTTTTACACAAAAATCAAAACGGCATTTCTTGCGCTGAATAACCGTTATCGAACAAAGATATCTAGCAACCGACCCAGCGCTAACACGACGGCCACTATAAGCACCACCTGCTTCGTGGCCCTTTTGCGACCGTAGCTTTGGACTATTAGCCCCTTAGGTTGAACACAATACAATAACACTGGCTAGTAACCATATGTATACTGCACAGGTCATCGCATCTATGTCTTTTCCGCTTTCCATGGTACCTCTTGTAAGCGCGCGAGTGGCTGGCGGACGGGTAGCAGGTGGATGGGTAGTTGAAATAGAATATAAGACCTACTTTTTCGTTACTTTCGTTCTTGCTTTCCCTTTCCTCCTTCACTTCCATGTCTTGTGCACTGTTCTTCTCCCTTGAGCTTCTCCCTGTAAGCTTTGCGGAGCACCAATGTACGCCGCTTGGATCAGATACTTTTCGGCGTTTTCGTTGCTTTTCGGTCCCGGCACGTACCAGCCATAATGCACAAACGTGGCTCGAGTAGACGGATGCGGACATCTAAGAACAATCAGAAGCAATGTACCCGGCAGGAAGCGACGAGGTACAGAGCGAAAAAAAAAAGCACACGAATCAAGGGCGACCAAAGAGTGAGGTTAGGCCGCTCCTACAAGGATAGGACCGTTTCTACCTCTATGTGTAAGGAAGATTCTACGGTTCCTGCGGTCATGGCACTCAGCCACTGCGTGTAATTTTCGAACAAACTGCACCCAGGCACGTTGAGTCGCAAGCGTCAAAGTGGCGCAAGCAATGAGCGACGCACAGCGGACGAGAGACCCGCAGGGGATTAGGAGAAGTGGCTTTGGTAGCGGGCTGAAAAAGGCGCCGCATAAATAAGAGACAATGGGATAAAGAGATGGAGACGAAAAAAAATATTGAGTTTGGATTGCTCTCTAGAAATCTGTATCTTTATGTGCATGCGCATAATGTCAAGAAGCAGCAGTATATAGGATCTGCACTGGCGCTCTAACGTTGGCCACCTTGTTTCGCTTTAAGACTTCAATTTCAATACTGTTCTATTTAGCGTAAAACTTACTATAAAGCAAAGGCGCTTATGATATACATCTCTCTCTCCCTCCCGGTCTCTCTCTATATATACACATTTTTTCTTTTCGCTTCTGCATTGCGGAAACGACACAATGAAACGGTCAACAGTTGAACACGTGTAGCTTGTGATGCATAACGTCGATGATTGCTACGCAATGATAGTTGTGTTTATTTTTGTTGTTGTTGATGCTTGGAGTATCCGAATAGTTCGGCAAGGGTATTATAAAGTGTGCAGTATGGCTGGAAAACGTCGTATTACGGAAACGTAATCGGGAACCAGGCCTGCGCCGCCTGTTGTTTCCGTTCATCGTACATTATTGTATTAGAATTGTTTACGACACCGACAAAACGAGGAAACGAAAAAAAAATCACGAAAGTGGCCGTAAAAAAGGACACACCGAAACGGAAGGAGAGTAAATAGATATCTCACAGGGGACCGGCAATGCGCGAAAGGTAAACGTCATTCCAGGGCTATATGGATAACCTTTGCCCGTTCGCAAACAACGATTCTATTCGTTCTTATTGTCCTACGGGTGAAAATCACCTGGGTAGAAGACGTATTTCTGCTGCCACTTCCTCTGGCTTGGGCTTACATCAATTGACAATATCCTAGCCCAATCGTATCCTCCATCTCCTTTTTTCAAGTACACTGTAGCGCTGTGTTAACAAAAGCCTAAAGCAAGGCCGAAGAAAGTACCCAATAAATGATCAAAACTATATAAAATAAAAGGAACAGACGAAAGTAAATCAAGATGCCCTATCTTATCAGACCTTTGTACGATAAAAAAAAAAGACAAGTGTAATTAGCCTGTAAGCTAATTGTCAGCTGACTACTTTTTAGTACACTTAAGGTAACTAACCATATATTGGATACTGATTTGTAAACATTTATCATGCGTCTATTGCATTGTCCACTATGCGAAGACATACACAACTTAGATGATGCACACAGTCTTCTAGTACTTTCCGAACACCTTCATGAGTGAGAAGTCTGTTTGTCAAAGAGCACTAAGAAAATATTTACAAGTGCGGTGTAGCACGACAGAAGGACTTCCTGGAAAACCCTCTACGCTCTAAGGTCTATTAGTTCTGAAAGAAAACGGTAAACAGGTAACACAGTCCAGATTAGCTTGTATTGTCTCTGCCATAGCGCAGTGTGTAACGCGTTTGGCTACTAAACTTGAAGACAGATGGTTGTCTCGGCTCGAATCCAGGTGAGGATACACGGCGTTTGGTGTTAGGGGTCAGCCGTCTAACGTAATGCTTAACGACTGAAATACTGGACACGCAACATAACAGAAGGTTCCTCGTATCGCTTTTGTAATGTGCTCAGGATATGTTCTATGATAAGTATCCTTAATTCTTATTGGGTTTCGGCCAGTGACCGTTGAATAACTGATCAAATGATCAAAAGTTGACCGGAATAATGGTTCACTATTTCAAATGCATTACATTTCCTTTCAAGAACGGGACTAGGTGCTGTTGGCTACGCTCTACGTTTTTGGGTACAGAGATCTAGGTCCTATGAATAATACTTGAAGGGACAATAGCTTCATGGCGTAGTAGCCAACGGCAACAAAATAAATCAACCAATCTGTCTGATACAGTCACTTTTACTGAGGCGCAGGGAGAAGACATTGGTCGTTTGCTCGCCACCGATACGTGTCTATATTTGGTAATGCGCCAACGATACGAATGCCGCCGCCGCCGCCGCCGCCGCCACTGGCACCGTCGCTGACTTTGTGACGGTTGCGCCATCCATCGAAACACCCGGAAGATCTTTCCCAGCATCGAGAAAAAAAGCAGAATAGATCTTTGGGCCGCAAAAAGGCAGATACAGCGTTGCTTATATGCGTATATCTATCTATCCGCAGGTATGGATACGCGAGATAGAAGACGATAGGGTCTGCTGTCCGAGGGAGTTTATGGATAGATGGCGCCTGAATCCAAAAACCGCCTGCGGGTCACGAGAAAACTGCAGGCGTTTAAAAGCTTCCACACCAAACTCAAACCTACGAGGAAAAATAACGCCGTCCAGTGACTACGCTATAGTGGGTTAGTTCGAAAGAACTAGTATAACATTGGTATACTGGCATAAACTAAGCCATCGACAGGGAAATTTCGCAACGCTGTTGTGGGAGTCAGGAGACTGCCTTGGTGGTAAATGGCACTCATTTCGGTCAAAATTTGGCACCAGTTGAACAATTCATCGTTTCACGGCCTATGCATACGATTATACACATCCACAAACCGGTCAAACTTTTCATACGAGGTGCAGCGACGCCCATGGTGAAAGTTTCAATGTTCTGAATTGAGATCTGAGAATTGAGACGTTCCTAAAAATCACTTGCGTGAGGACTGTTCTGCGCTTTGCATTGCACATAAACGTATACCTACTATATTATGATTTTTTTTCTTATTCTGCATATGTGTTTAGCCTTTTGATGCAAGTTTTGTAAAAAGTTTTTTAGTTGCAGTGTTTTTTTTTTTTTTTTTTGTGTTATTCCTCGTCGGTTCTTTCGCTTACCCTATGTTCCCGGAGTTGGGTCTCGAGCACATCGAGTGTTTGGCCAACGAGGGGCTGGCGATCGAGGCGGTTCTCCATTCGGGCAAGCCATTGCTCCAACTCGCGACGCCTCTCTTCGAACGTCCGACCGCCTTCGGCAGCCAAAGACTCGAGCTGGCGCCGCCGCTGCATCGCTTCTAATTCAAGCGAATCCAATGCGCCTTGGACATCCACAGCTGCAACCGTCGGAGATGCGTAGAAGAAGGCGGCGTGAGATATGCGCATATGACAGAAGGTGAAGCACGCATGAAGGATGACATTACATAAGGATAAGTGCTATAGAATTAGATCCAACTAATTATGGCGTATATAGAATGTACTATGAAAGAGCACAGTAAAAAAAGTGTGCTGTATCATTTTAGCGTTTCTAACTTAGCTTAGGTAAATTTTTTCCAATTCAAACTATTCATGGTACTATCTTAAGACCTTTAGAGCTCCGAAAGTTTTGTTTCGTTTTTACTTTGTGAAAACCAAGTGGATACAGCTCCTTAGGCCTATCTTTGACATAATTGCCTCTACTTAAATTTACTTTGAATTGCAGATTGATATAGCTTTGACCATTCTGCGATGTGGTACATTGATTGCTGGAACACAAATACATTCTAATCATGGTTTTAAGAAACGTTCTTTAATAATAATCAGTCCTCGAAAAGTAGTTTTTTTTTTTATCTATAATTTTGCTCATACATTTGCATATCTCTTTTTAATAGACAGTCCACTTCTTATCTTTCCAGAGCATGTATTCGTAGTATTATTAGACAGCCAATGAGACCCTTATGATGGTCTATTCAACTCATTCCGCAAAAATAACTGATGAAAACCGAAACCATCGCCAAAGGCCGAATTCTACGTAATTTCCGTTTCCTTTGAACACGTTTCCGCATAGAGAGCATTCCGCCTCAATCACTTGCTAGGCACTAGAAAAAACAAACGCATATGGCCATGCATAAAAATGGAGGCTGAGATTACACGTGCGTGAATCGGATCGTGCAACGCATCGACGTGTCACATGTCTTCGAAAATGTGGCCTCTTTATCCTAACTAAACCTAACTGAGCCTAACATAAACAGGACCAAAAAGTGTTCCTTTCACATACCCGCTAGTCTTCGCTTGACCATCTGAGCCCTTCACCGATGATTCATTTACCCAGTTTTTTTTTGAGCTCTTCGGAAATCCCTCGATTAGGCTTTTATGTTATAAATTACGATGGCGTGCCTTCGCAGTACCTGTGCTCCTGTAAGTCATCCTCAAGGGGCTTGGAGAAACGGCGTCTTCAAGTATTGTAGAGAAAGGGCGATGCATTGGGGGTCGGTTATGTATCGAGGATTGGTTACATGAGCCTGTACACATTTTGCAAAGGTATATAGGGCCTGGGATATAAAACGCTTTACTAAGGATTTTCAAGTTCACTCCGCGGGAACTTTAAGCGCATAGTTTCGGATTCGGTGGCTCTTCATACCGGTAACTTCTGCGTGCTTCAACATCCGCTTCTCTTCCTTTAAAGACTCTAGACTCATTGTTCTAGAGTTACGAGAATTCCCTTTTCGAACGGAACAGGCACAGGCAAAGCATTTCTAATAAATAACTTATTAGATAATATATACAATGCGCCAAATACAACCAGCCTATTTTTATAGGTGATACTATTTGATGGTCTACTAGAATCACCACAAAAATCCGATCGCCCAGATTTACACGTTAATCAGGAGTATCATAGTTTGTTACAAAGCAACTAAGGAAGTTTTAAAGATTGAGTGCACAGCAAAAGACCAAAGAGGAAACCACAGTAAAGAAATAAAAGCTCAGTCCGATAATTCTCCACTCCTCAAATATAAACTACTACAATGTCCGAAATTTGGCTGGGAATTTTCTATAGGTTTGCGGGAATCTTGTCCCATAGTAAACGATATTTTTGAGTCTTTTAAGGTCACCTATATGGAAAACCGTTCGACCTTACGATAGGGGTGGCGTAGCTCTGCTGTGCATAAAACATCTTCTATATAAGTTGCGCCATCTTATATTTTCAGTTTTTCCTTAAAACAAAATCGCCTGTCTTTCGGAAATCCAAACGTTTAGTACGTCTTTTGTTTTAACGTGAACATTAAACACGTATTAGAAAATGGCCTAAAAGCAGCGAGTAGTTGCAAAGTGTACGCTGTGAATTCTTCCGGCAAGGGCCTATATGGGGTGTTGGCATATCTTACGTTCATCAGTTTCTGCTAAAAGTATCCAACCAGGAGCAAGTAGTTTGGGAAATGGTGCCATATACCGAAAGCGTCACTTTAAAGAACTCAATTTGTTGAATCATTCTCTAGGGAGTCAGTATCTATGTATAGTTGTATTTAAGGTGACTGATATTTTTCGACTAAGCCTGATTCCAAGACTAGCAGCCAAAGTATTTCTATAGTATTGCATATACCGCAATTACGCAAAGAATATTAACCAATACTATTTGGGATATATTAATTTATATGTACTTCCTTATATTTACATTTTTTTTGGAAATGGGGATCTAACGATAACTTCGCGTAAACAGATATGCCATAAGACCTGCCGAAGATTAAACACTCTTCCATGTGTGCCATTTCGCCTATCTGCCTGCCTCAACCAACCCCAGCATCAATCGGCCTTCGAATATCCTTTCGATTTTCTCTACTCTGGCCTAAACCGCTGATGTGTTTCCATTGGCTACAGTCACTTTCCGCGCTCCCGCTCATTGTCAAAAAAGGAACACAGGGAAACAGACGCCTGCCTCTTTTAAGGCCTACGCAGCCATTTGTTTCACACGCGGCGGCTGCCTCCCGTCTCACGCTGCACAAACAACTGCTGGTGAAAAAGCAATTAACCGCTATGAAAAGGGAAAAGCAAAGGGGCAGTGTCATCTCCGCTTGTTTGGCTTTATCAGAGGAAGCTTGCCTCTGATAGGCTCAGCACACCTGATACAAACCACAGGGTTAAGAAGAATATTGGTTCAATTACGGAGGCAGCAGCGGCAAAATTCGCAGTTCGTTGAATAGCCACCACATTCACCAATACCTTTCATAACTATTCAGAAAACCATACATCGTTCCGGCGATGGCAGTGTTGGCAACTGCTCACTGTACATCTGAGAAAGGACTGGACAAACTCTCAGTCTGGGTGCCTAATTTAACTACTGGATGAGCCTGAGAATACGCATATCGCTTCGTGAGCCTTCCTATTTATTGCCTCCAAAGGCGGAACCTACCGAAAGACTTCGTCGCTTGGACAGAATAAACCTGCTGCAGTAACAACAGAAACAGCACCACATAAAGGAGAGGGGCGACTTGTTGTTGAACCTGTAAATAGAATTCAATTACAGGTCGACCTACTGCCACACCTGTAGATATGGATCAGCATATAGCCCTTTTGGTGCCTCATGGGGGATCAACTCGCATAGTAACGCGGCCAAAAGCGGTGGGAAGATACTAGGGGGCGACGAAGCAAAAGGTGAATGTTGTTGTAGCACTTCGAGGGAAGATCACTTATTGCTAGGCTTGTCTTCTGTGAGCATGCTGACTTATATCGGTCCAGGAGAATGGTTAAGGACCGCCGGCGAACAAGCGCCTATCACCTGTTCGATTTAATTGGTCGAGTTAGTTTGTTTTACTCCTTGTATGTTTTAGATGGTGTTGGACGCCGAGGGGGCAATCTCGAGTGTTAGGCTAACGTGGTTGACACAAGCGCAAACAATATTGAGCACAAACAATATTTAAATCGTAGCTACATGTGTATAGGTCCAAAAGAGGTGGCAGGAAAGACAGATGCGATAACCTCTTTTGCCCAAGTAGATCTGTCCGGGTAGCAAAATCACAATAGGCTAAACGCAATTTAAGCTTCAGTCTTCACATTAGGAGCTTCGGAATTTACATCTATAGTTGCAGTAAATATTTAGAGGATAAATAGAAAGGGCTGGGTATATGAGTACTCTATAACCTCATCAATTTCAATGTTCCTAAATGAAACTATTATCAAAAAAGTATAATATCCACAAAAAACCTTGTTGAATTAATAAATGTTCAGCATCGACGACTTAGTGTTTTAAACAGTGACCCAACAGCGCAAACATATACAAAGTGTTGTGCCAATTTTGTCCTATCGGACGTTCACTAGCCCTTTAGTATAACTATTTTGCAAATATACCTGTGCGTCGGCCCTAAATAGGTTTATTATCAAGAGAGGGCGAACTAGTCTGTTTGGAAGATACGGCTTCCGATGATGATCCGCCACAGGAATCCTGCTAGGAACTTTTTTACTATTTAAGAGCCTAAAGATAATTCACACTCAGATTAACCATCGGGATACTGGATCAGTTAAAAACTTGAATAGTAAGGTAACAGCTAGCGTTGCCTCGATTCGACGAACCGCACAATTTAAAATAAAAAAATCTTAAAATAGGCTTGCGAACGCTCGGTCTTTTAGACCGAGCGTTCCCAAGCCTATTTTAAGATGCGACGCAAGGGTTTTTCGGTGCATTTGAGCATAGCCTTGGCTCTTCGAATCCTTGGCAGCATTGACCTAGTAGAACACTGAGAAGCGACCAGCATGCTGTTAGCCATAATCTCTTTACATCGAGTAATTCTATCGATTTTTAACACCGAAATTAACGCGTTTCAACTCGGGTTTACTCTCGGTGGAAAAACATCACTCGCCTACAGAATAGAACGCCTGCCATATTTTTAAACTTATAAATCTTTCATTTTTTAATATATATATATATATAAAATTTATAAACCTTTCATAGAAAATTACAAAACCTAAAAGTAGTGTGGTTTGCTGGTTGATAAATTTAAAACAACACATTCGTTATAACAACACGTAGAAGATTGATGCAGGTCTGGGAATACGTCCTGAATCCATAGGTGTATTTGCTGCTCAGTTAGCTAATTAAAGCTAGAATATAAATATGTATTACGCGAAGTAATTTTCATTAGAAACCACAGTTGCTTCATTTTAGTCTGTCGGTGAATAAAAGCTCTCCGCTAAGTGCGTTTGTCCAATGCTGGATATCCCTAGCAGATATCCAGCAGATATCCCTAGTTTGCTAGCTAGAAGATGTCTCGTCCAATTTTTTTATATTGCTGCTGCAAAAATCCATATGAAAGACCTGGACACGTAAGGGTTTGTATGAATGTACAGTGACTCGTATTGGCACAAATGCATTGGTGCCGCTGCGAAATCCGGCTTACCGACTCTATTTATTTCGCTGCTACACTTTTCCATAATAAGCGACCCAAGTTCTAAGGTAAGTTCTTCTCAATGACGGTTCTTCAGAGCTCCACAATGGGTGACAGCCAGACAACGAACCAGTTTGGTGGCAAGTTTGAAGAAATATGACATAGGCCATTTCAATTTTTCCACCTCTGCCCAACGTACCTTATTCTGTTGGGCAACCTTTCCATTGCTCATTCTGCATCTTGGCAAAATTTAATTTGTACAGATTTTTATTAACGAACTCAAATTAAGGCTAGGTTACACATGGGCGTGATGAGGGAATCATGCAATGGCCGAAACTGTTACCAATTAATCAATCCCTTAGAAACACTACACACGTATAGAAAAACAGCTTTGTTCCTACTTATAGCTTTCGATTTTCTTAAACTGTATTTTTGACATGTTTGATATTTTTCATAAGCATAACTGGCCCGACATTCTCTGGTACTGAAATATTACAATGTAGACCTCACGCATCATTCAGATCATCACATGCATCGTACAGAATCATGGCCTAATCACAATTTATCTAATCGTAACATTGGCACATTTTTCGTACCTTTCTTGCGGAGTTCTAGAAGTGCCTCACGGCGCTCGTTCGACGTCCTTTCGCGTATCCCGCCCTGACGGTGCTCTGATTTATCGGACTTCGTCTTCGAGTGATCGTCGCCGACTCCTCCAGTTCCCTGATCAAATACTTCTTGTAATTCTTGTTCGTATAGATCTTCTGCTTCGTCACTCAAGTATTCCAGCGCCGTATTAAGCTGGCGCAGAGCGCTTCGTCGCACCACATGTTCCTCAAGAAGCACCTATAAAGATTAAGTAAATAATACGCCTGTTTACAGTGAGACAGGAAATAGGCTCAGTCTAGGTGATGCGCTCGCTGGCTTCCTATATTTAAAATGTATGCCAGCTTATGCTTGAATCAAGCGTTAGAAACATAAAAGTCACTCACAAGGATGTATACGCGAAGCGTACCCATTCTATTCTCATACATGCAGGTCTCTGAAGTGTAACGTACGCAATTATTAACCGATCATTATAAACTTTTTGATAGCCCATGATTCCCGCAGTGTTGTCGACCCTAAACTCATATACATACACCTCAAATTGTCTCCATTTGATTCCGATATAAATTTGGTGAAGGCAATTCGTTGTGACCGATCGCTCTCTCTACAGATCACCTTTTCAGCCCACAAAAACCAAAAAGAAAAAGAAAAGACTGCTACCATTTTCATACAAATGAACGGTGTTTCATCATTAGCGTTAAATGAAACAGTTCCATGGAAGGAATCGTGGAAAAACATCTCATCTACAGCACGAGACAGATCACATTTACGCTGGTCACCATAAGCACGTCCCTTCAATAGCGGTCGTCGTTCTAGGCGATGTTGGAAGCAGTCGGAAGGCAAGCGAAAACCACGGGTGGTGGTCAGAAACACTTCATGCGCTACGCGACATCTTCTGTTTAGCGCTGGCACGCTGGCGTAAACCTGAACCTGACCGCACCTTATCTGGGCTTGATCGTCCATTCGCTGAATCGACCCCATTACCCTAATGAGAAATCTCGATGGATCATCAACTGCGCTTGACCAACCATTTGAATTCGTCTTATCTTTTGTGCAATAAACGGAGAGGAGCATACACGGCAGAATTATCCAGATAAACCCCATTAATCCGTTCGTGCTCGTCCCCATTAGCTCCACGTGAAATTGACAGGCCCCAAGCAGTTGCAATTTATAGAGCTGCTACCGCTACCGCCACTTGCTGAATTTTGTTCGAGTATGCGTAGTGCCCACATGACCTTGGAAACGACTTTGCATCCAGAAACTTTATACCGAAAATCTCTGTTATTGCTTGTAACAGCAAGAAAATCAGTGATGATCCCAATAGTGTCTATTAGTCACTTCGTTTAGCATCGGTGGCTGGATACTTGGGCCAGTTTTTTCCCACCGGATCTTGTGTGCATTGTGCTGCCTAATGCTGAAGAGAAATGAGAGTGATATCGAGTTCTCACAGCATTTACGGTCTTGAGGTCGTTCTCAACCTAGTAAAGAATAATGAGTTTTTGTCTGTGTCCGTGTATCTATGATTGATTTAATCCTCAAGTAAAGTGGAGTACCTGAGCTTCTGTTGTAGGTTGAATATTCCTCTTATAGCTGTTACCGCATCATAAGAGCATTTGCGATCTAATTCAAACTTAGTTCAAGGTCCGTCCTTGTTGTAGCGCAGAGTCGTTGTTTCGTAGTACTGTGTTTAGATATTCGGTGAAAGGTATTGTTCGGTAAATTTTCAATAGACGCAAGTAAAATGTATGCCTTGTCATTAGTACGTAGTCATAATTTCGTTGAATGTTTGCCTCATTTGTGTCAAACGTTTATAGAACTTGAAAATCGCTTCATTCTAGTTTTGACCCGGTACGTAGAGTCGTTAACTTACAAAAAGTTCGTTTAGAGAGCTTTTCGTTATCACTGTTCATAGTAAAGTACTGTAGCAAGTGGGTTTGTGGGTCAGTTAGGGGGTGAATAGCATTTTACACAAACAGGCATTCAGCAACGACACTTCCCCTTTTTAGTGTGGGCCCCAATCAAGGTTAGGTATATCTTCCTCTATCTTAGCTTAATTTGCTTAGTAGTTTCTTGCCTATAGACTTATTAATGCCTCCGTCCATAGTAGGCAAGACAGCAAATTGCCGGTTTGTCGATAAAAAAACTCATTGCGTATTGAAGGATGCGTCCACTTCGTTGAAAAGTTAGTCAGTTGCTAGTGTGCATCTTTCGGAAACCAGGATTTTTAGGTAGGCATATGGTATTTAGCGTCCGTTGACCAAGTTGAAAGTTTTCATGCGCTATACACTGCGGCGACAGATGGTGTTGGCTGTTTTTTACCTAGCAGAAGGACCAAGTTGATTAAAAACCCATTTTAAGGACGATCGAAGACGTACGTGATTCGATCTCTGCAAACGCCGTCCCTTTCATGCTTCAAATACACAACACAACAGAATTTCACGAGCGAAAATATAGTTCTATAGCATTTTGTAGAGCTCAGTACAAAACGGACTGGAATTATGAGACGATAAATTATTTACTATGCTATATATTAATGAATCGTTTCTACAGCGGCAACTATTCAGTTTGACTAGTAGAACCGATGGGCCGACGATGTCGATGACCCAGATTTCACTTGAAACAATGCAAGAAACTGGTGGAAAAATACACGTGAAGTCTTTACGAATAACGATATATAGTTGGACTAGCAGCAGAAATTCGTATGGCGAAACCATATTAAAGATAAAGCTATTTTGGTTTTAGCACCACCTCTAGCGGTCATTGCTCGAGAATGACTATTGCTTTAGTAAAAACTACCTTGATAACGAAGTACTTCTCGGAATGTTATCGATATACCGCAATGGACTTTGCTGTATAAGACTGATAACGTTGATGTATATATATATATGCACAGACTTACTCGTCCCTTTCAATGGACAACAAAGTAAGTCAATGGTTTATGATTGGTCGTCCGACACCCGAGAGCCCACACCGACTCCAAACATATTCTGAACGAGCTTCTTTCTTTCTTGTACTTCATCCCCTCTATGTTGCTAGTCATCACCGCTTCGATTCATCGTATTTCGAGCTTTTCGGCCAAGTGCACCCCAGTAACTCTATAGCGTTGCAGCTTCGATGGAGATCAGCGCAGTTTGTTGCGCTCCGTTTTACGCGCAGTGAAAAAGGCCATTGATAACAACATGATTTGTCTGGTCGGCTGTGTACGTTGCTGTTAGGCAAACCATAACCTTTGTCTGAGCAATCGCAAGTCCGATAACGATCAACTGAAGTAACAGGACAACTGCGATTTAATAGTTCAACTACGTTTCACCTATCTCCCATCTCGACTTTTGTCCTAGAAAATTAGGGGTAACAACGAATGGCTACTGTTTCCCTTGAACTTGTCGTATGTTATTATTTTTGTAATTATTTTTGTTTGTATAGCGGAGTAATGGAAACGAATCTTACGATTTAGATGATGACCACATGGTGATTGTAGTAAATAATCAGTCATTTTCCTTTCAAGCAACGATACTGCGAATCAAACGAAAACAGCCTAATCTCAGTTGCTGTTCGAAATGTTATTAATTTTATGTGATCCATAAATACCGACAGCCACGCTTCGGTATCTTGGCGTTTCTTGCAAACTTCTATTACTGAGCTCTTTGCTTGATCTTCTCTAAGTTCTTATATCCAGTCTTATACTTAGCTGAATAGATTTTCTACCCATTAATTCTTCTTCTTAGCTTTGTTTTCCTCTGTGGCGTTAATTCCAAATGCTCAGGCTGCTACTCTGCTCTGCTAGACTTCTCTTTGTTGTCCTTCCGCTGGCAGACTGGCAGATTTGGTCCGACTGCGCTTACTCGTCGCAGCTCATACCAGATCCGCACAGACTTTTCAGTATACTCTTCCCCTTTCTTTTGAGGTAAACAAATGAGCATTCGACTCACGCCGGTTACATAGTATTTATTAAGTACATCTAGCAGAAAGATGCCATTTATACTGGCTATACTGAAATAGTCCATCGAAGTATTCTGTTAGAGACGCTAGTCTGCGGCCGAAAAAAGATGAGGGATAAAAAAAGATGAGGCACGAGAGATAAAATAGCCCAACTAATACGATAATTCGATTGCACCTCTAGGACGAGAAACAGAACGAATGTCCTGCTTCTAATCCATTGATCAGAATCCTTCAACTTTAGTCGAAGGATTCTGATCAATGGATTAGTTGTGTTACTTTTTTGTCCTCCCGCTTTTTCTCTCTCCCTGCGCAGCTCGCTAGTAGGATCCTTTCCTCTCGCTGTAACCTTGACGACGCAGCTGCTGTTCTCCAGACCGCATCTTTGGGTTGTGGGAGCACTCCAGGGTCTCGGGAATTACCTCGCTTGCAAAGATTAGCGCTAAGGCTCAGTCAAAAAAGATTCCTGTTAGGAGAGCTCTTCTTGGTTGCGGTCACGCTTTTCCACGAAACGTAGACCAAAGAAAGGGACGTGTGCGCTACTGAAAATTGTCACTTCGTTAATTCATAGAGCTACCACAAGATTTCACGGCTGAAGTAGCTTCCTTCTGTTATATTCATTTTTGTTTGGCCTGTGTTCGCCTCGTTGTGCCGCCATTTTCCCGTCGAAGAGGCAGCGCGATCTACCCGACTTTAGCGTTAGATATGACTCGTTGTCGGCTCGTGCCTGCTTTCAGCTAGACACTCTAGACTATATATATATATTACTCTAGAGTAAACCCAAGCGCAAACACCACTCTCTCTCTGTACGAGTGCGAACATACAAACGAGTTTGTATGTACTTATCAGACATCTGAAACCGGCAGGGGCTAACTCCCTTATTCTCTTAAGCTACCTCTTATTCTCCTGATAACAACCTAGCAATCTCTGCCACATTCAGGAGATCTCTGTTTGCTGTATAACATGCTAGTTAGAGATATTGTTCAAAAAATCGAACGACCAATCTACGCTTTAGTGTAAAATGTCAATTCTAGCGTGACGCCACCAATGAGGGAAGCGTATAGCGTTCTAGACGAAACTTTTTGAAACCACAGAAATATCGTTTTACTCGTTTGCTCCAAAAGCTGCAAACGTTAAGGAGCAATGGGAAAATCGCGGAAAGTGACGCAGCTATTATTACTTCTTTCTGAAAAACCTTTCCTCAGAAAGATAGCCAGTTACTATTATTTGGTTGGCATCAGGCTCCTTATTGCTGGTAATACATTATTTGCTGCTGCTGTCATTGTTGTTGTTATTGTTATTGG